CGAGCAGGGAGCCCGATGTGGGACTCGATCCCAGGACCCTGGGATCATGACCTGAGCCGAAGGCAGACGCTTAACGACTGAGCCACCCAGGCGCCCAAGGAGGTCATGTTTCTAAGACTGGTACCCAGAGCAGCAATCTAAGTGCCTGAAAGACCCACTGATGGTGTTGGGATGAAGAGCTGAATCAGAGCAGTTTTTCCTAGTGTGAGCAAACTCTCCACTTGTTTGCTTTTTGGGATTCTCCATATATTTCCCTTCACAGGGCTTACCCTTGCCCACTCTGCTATTGCCCTCTGACGCTGCTCGCCCCCCCTGTAGGGAGTGAACTTGGGTGAGACCTTGGGACGGGGGCAGGGCAGGCAACCGGACACGGAGGCACCCCTTCTGCAGTCAAATGCTCTACCACTGAGCTATACCCCCGGAGGCACCCCTTCTGGACAGCCAATCCCCTTCTATTCACAGTCCTTGCACGCATCTCCCCTCTTCTCTCTGTCCTGAGGAGAGGGATCCAGAACCCAGGGCTGGTGGCCAGTACACAAGCTGGTAGCCAAGAAAGCACCTACTGCAGATTCCAGGTCCCACATCCCGCCCATGCAGCCTCCTCTTCTTCAGCCTCTTCGCAGCTGGGAGGACTGGAACAGCCCTGGGGGAGGGCTGCTATGCTGGGTCTTATGGGAATCGGATGTTCAGGATCCTGCCCTTTACTCTATTTAATAGGAACGGCAAAAAAGGCCCTTTAGCAAGCAGCTTGTGGGAGCTGAAATTCCCACAGAATCCAATGCATCAATCAAATCAAGGGGAGAGAAAAAGATTTAATGCTACAGGGAACTTGAAAATCCTTGCTTGAACTCCTTGTGGTCCCTGATCCCACCCAAACACCTCCCCCCACGCCCGGTACACAGATAAGAGATGGACAGATTGATCGGTGTTTCCTGAAAACGTGACAGTGCACGTGGAGAGACCAAGAGATGAAAAATAGGAAAGGGGGTCCTGTGAGTTCCACACAGAGCGCTGAAGGCTCCGTTGGAAGAGCTCCGGTCCTGGGGCCAGGAGAGAACACAGCTGCATCGAAGGTCCTCTCAGTCCCACGCAAGAATGCCAGGAAACCCAGGTATGACATGAATGCCATAATTTTTTTTTTTTTTTAAGGAGGAAAGAAAGCAATAAGGATGCACGTAAAAGAAGGAAACAGAAAAGAGGGGAGATAAAAAGAATAAAAGAACAGCTTTAACTTTTAGGGCAAGAAAAAGGTATTTTAAAGGAGGGCGAGGTTGAGAAGGGCTGGGACCCGGGCAAAGACCAGGGTCCTGCAGAAACTTCGCGAGGAAGAGGGGCCAGACGGCTGTCCCATCCCCATGTTTGGGCACATTAATGGAGTCGTGACTCCCTCGCTCGAGTCCTGCCCTGGGAGGGGACAGTATCTGTTTAGATTTGTGTCTAAATTTAAACCCTGATCGCCGGCCTCCCTCCCCCGCTCCCCACCCCTTCCCCCTCCC